TCCGTCCTGTCGTCACCTACGTGGGCGTCGTCTACCTATACTTGACTCTGATTGGTTTATAGACGGGCGTGTGCTGGTCGTGTTGGTGTGATAGTCCAGTATTGGTTGTGTGTTTGACAAATGTTGGAAGCACGTTGGTAAAGTATTAGTCTTGTGTTGGACACGTGTTGGACACGTGTTGGACACGTGTTGGACACATGTTTTGGGTGGAGCAGCCCTTTAACCCTCAGCGTGTCCTGTCTCAGGTGAGTCTCACCTCGCAGGATGTAGTTCTGATAGTTGTGGTCGGCCTCGGCTCCAACCTGAATGAAACATGTCAAACCCTCAGACGCCACGAACTCTGGAACCAGATCTTTATCATCCTGAGAGGGGGAGAAGAGACACGTCTGTCAAACTGTGGACAAGACACATCAACTTCACACGTTCAACCAGGTCGTGATTCGGAAACAAGGGCAAGGTTGATTTATTCCAGAGAATTGATCATGAAGCTCTGATGTGTCGGGACGTTGTTGTGGGTTTTACCTGGAAAAGCTGTTTGAGAGAGAACAGAGAGCGTCTGAGCTCTGGACCCTGAGAGTTGTACAGTTTCTCTGAAACACATAAGAACAGGAAACAGGAAGTCACTTCAGGTTCACTCAGTCCAGACGTACAGTTTCTCCTGAAGGTGGCGCTGGAGCAAAGTTCACAGTGTGAGCTGAGATGTTTAAAGTGAACAACAGCGTGGTCACGAGGTCCCAGTGACCTGACGTCTCACAGCATCATGTGATCAAGTTTTCATTCTGTTAATATCACATCATGTGAATCGGCTTCATTTTAAACTGGATCTCAATCAAACCATTTCTTCTGAGGCCATCAGGTGCGGACACACAAGTGGACACCAGGTGGAGACAGAGAGCTGTGACACATCATGTCCGATGGTGGCCTGGACAGGAACGACTGCGGCTCGTACAACCGCTTTCACATTCCGGACACTCCTGTGGCTTCTGCTGAGTGTGTGTGACTGTGTGTGTCCTTGATTTGTTACTGTTGTTATCACTTTAGGAACTTTTCCGTGATAAACACTGACCTCGTCAACAACCGGTGGACCTCATGGGACCCAAAGCCTGGTCCTATCGAGACAAAACTACTTCACCACTAACACTACCAGCACCTCTGTCATAGCTCACACAGCTCACAGGCAAACACTCGCAGTGACACACGTTGTGTTGACACATGAACGTGATTCAGGCAACTCGACCGACATGATTCACTCGACATTTTGTCTCAGACGCAGCTACTTCCTGTCTTGTTTTGGATTTAAGCTGAAATCATTGAGAATCTTCCAGCGAGCTTCGACCTGAGCAGGGAAACTGTGCTGACGTCCAATCAGAGGCTGAGAATGTATAAACAATCTGAGGGAAAGACCACATCAAACCGTTCATGAGAAAATGAACCCGTGATACAAATCAAAGCAGAAACACACGCAACAGCAAGTCATGGTTGTCATGGGAACTTATAAAATAAATGAGGCCCTCTTCCTCTCCTTTTGCCATCAGCAAAATAACCATCCCATAATAACAGTCACATCTCTTTGACTCTCACACTCTTCATCATCATCATCATCATCATCACTCAAACAGTTCAACCTTTACTAAAGAGACACGGTTCATTAAATGAATCAGTTAACGAAAAATAAACAGTTATCCCTGTCCCTCTGTTATCTGTGTTTCCATGACGTTGCGATCAGCTGTTTTCAGTCTGCTGTCGAACTGACTGAGTAAATATTTCACAGGACGACGAGACAGAATCAGTGAATCTCCTCGTCAGCACAATTTCACACGAGCGGAGAGTCAGAGAGACAAAGGTCGATCTTCAGATTCAGGTCATTGTTATTGTGTTTCTCTGTTGTTGCAGTGATTTTTTTTTTTTTTTTTTTTTTGACGTCTCCACTGAGAGAAACACTGAAACCACAGACTCCACGTTTCTCCTGGAAATATTCCTCTGGTCTGCTGCATCGCTGGAAACTTTAGGATTCAAAGTGGAGCAGTGCGAGTGTGGAGGCTCCAGCAGGTTTAAGAGGTGTCATCACTTTAAATTACTCTGTGGGAGAAACTGCGACCTGTCATTTCAAACTAAATTACTAGCGAACAGATGAGAGATGGACAGTTTGTGATATTTCCACAATCACAGAGAGAGAAAACACACAGAGAGTTTAACAAGAAGCTGAATAAAACCCGAGACTGACGCAGACAGCAGCACCCTGCAGCTCAGGGACGAGCGGAGACACCGAGGAACAAAGAGCGGCTGTGTTTCACATCAGTCATACAAAAAAAAAAAAAAAAGAAGTCTGTCTGGGCCGTTAAAGATGGAGCTGAATGGAAAAGAATCCATCCCAGAATATTTCACCACTGTTCACATGTTTCACCACAGGAGCTGAGTGTGGATTCACAGGACTAAAAATAAATGATGACGTCACAGTTTTCTTGTTTCCCCACAAAGTCCAACACTGAGTCAGAGACAGATTTCCTAAGTTTCACTGGAGCTGAGGAATTTGATCTGTCAGAGATACATGCTACATACATGTACATGCTACATACATGCTAAAGTCCAGACAAGCATCTTTAGCCCCATATCAGTAACAGCTTCGTACACACTTACACCTGAAAACGTGACCTGGTCATGTGATGTAAACAGGAAGTAGATTGGTTCCAATCAGGAAGAGAACGTGGGCGTCTGTGTCATCATGTCTCAGTTTCTGCACTGAACACACAACACTCGAGTTTTCAAACTGAATCGAGGGCCAGCGTTTACCGAAGTCTCTGATTATGGACGAAATCATAGCGGCGGCGATGTGGACATCAGTGTGGACGAAGCCTCATTGTTGTGGTTTTATGTCGAACTGAAAAAAAGTCAACACGTCTCTGAGTTTTAACTGTTGTTCGGACAAACTGAAGACGTCGCTCTGAACTCTGGGAAACTGACATTTTTAAAACAAGAACGACAACAATACATAACTATAAATATAGATATATGGTTTTAAAACTCGATGAATGGCTGAGTCCACAACCTTATTTCATCTTCACATTATTCCAGACTTCAAAAGTTATTTTCTTGAATGAATCTTCTTTTAATTCACTAATTTAATAATCATTTCAGCTCCAGATTACTGATGGGTGTCAAATAACGACACTGCCACATACAGTGGGGGTCAGGAGGAGAATCCAGGCTCTTTCCTGGTGCCTGTGATTCACCTCCTGACAGAAGCTTAAAGGTGGAGGGCACCAAACTGTTGTTTCCTCTCCGAGCTCGAGTCGTCCACAAACTTTGACCCAAGATAGACGGCGGCCAAACGCAGCAACAGCTGAGAGGACTGAGGACGGAACATCCCTGGATCACAAACACACACCAGCTGAGAGTCTGTGAAATTCCTCCCTCCTGACACACACACACATACACACACACACGCACGTGCACGCACGCACACACACACGTACAGTATGTTCATGTGAAGGAGTCTTGTTGCATTCATGTTCAGTCGGTCATCCTGTTATAAAGAGCTTTGTGGAAAATAACATTGTGCTCATATTTCACAGACATAAATAAAGTGAGACGTAAAACTTATTTTAAGTTCTGACGGTCAAAGTTTCAGCAGGACGTCTGTCCCCGAAGCGACACGTCCCTCGAGGGGGGGGAGTCGACCGTAAGAATAGACACATCAAATCAGCTCAGGGTTCGTCTGCCATTATTCATTTTGAGTTTTAAAACTGGATGAAAAATAATAACAACACTAAACTCAACCAGAGCAGCAGACAAACTGTCAACTGATGTCACATTTACCACTTCCTGGTCACACGCCCTCGCCAACCAATCAGGAGACAGTTCTGGAGTTTAATGGGGGGATTAATCTGATTGTGACACAACACAAGTCGTAGCTGTGACAGTGGACGATGCTTCAAACGTCCTTTTGGTGCTTGAGACACCGGAGAAGTTCTAACGAATGTTTCTTTAGCATTATGATGTCACAGGGATGGAGAGACAGAGGGAGAGAGGGGGAGAGAGGAAAGGACAGAAGAACAGAGAGAGGGAAGGATGCTTGTGTTTTTCCTGCAGACAGGAAGTGACCCAGATAAACTCTCTGGTATTTCCTGTTTGTGCCATTGTTGCTAATTTGACTCTAAACTGAGCGGAGAACATTATTTAGAGAAAAACCTCAGAACCACCACCGGGCTGCTGGGACCACGTCTCCGCGCCGGGTGACGGTCAGAGCAGCCATGATTGTAGTTTTCTCTCTGAGAGCTGAGAAGAACCAAGACGTGAGGGTCGAGACAGAAAAACTGCGACTGCTGGTCAGCGAACGCATCATTAGCTTCGCTGTGTTGTGTTTACAATCCTGTCAGGTCGTAGGAGCTGGAGACGCCCACCCACGCCTGGCACCTGCAGCCATTGGATGGTCCTAGCTGTCAATCACACTGTTCAGACATTTACTTATCTAGATCTTTTCTAGACTTGATGACACTCAAAGCTTCTCTGCTGGACAGTTTGCCATTCACCTGTTCACACACACACATTCATACAGCGCATCTATGGGCAGCACAGCCGACAGCGGCAATCTGGGGTTAAGAGAGTTAGAGGGTTCGGTGTCTTGCCCAAGGGCACTTCGGCATGCGGACTGGGAAGACACAGCTGCTCCGGCAAACCGTGGTAAATAAAGACCTGCTGCTAGACTCAGTCAACACACACACACACACACACACACACACACACACACACACACACACACACACACAAGAGCAGGAGGAGCGATCTGATCACAGGATGGACGATCGTGTCAGATGTGAACTGAACGTTTGTTTGACCCTGATGGCAGCGAAGGAGAGAGAGGTTCTGATTTCACCTCTGTCACTCACAACAAAGCGCAGCCTCAGAGGAGGCAGCATGCTGGGAAATCCCCTCCACAACAGGAAGGGCTGGGTCATGTCAGGCAGCACGGGGGGGGGGGGGAGAAGTGTGGCAGCAGGAACTCTGGGAAATGCTCAGTGTTTCCCAGGGAAGGTTAAAGTTATGAAGTGAAGTCTGAAAGTCACTGATCTGCTTCCTGCTCCTCAGAGGATGAACCTTCCTCTGATGCCGCTCTCAGAAATAACATGTCGGCTCCTCGGCTGGTCGGACTGAGAACAGTCGAAATAAAAATAATAACAATAATAATAGTAAGTGAACACGGAGCAGAGCAGAAGAACTGTGCACGTCTGAACACGTTCAGGTCTGTGATGAAGTTCAGCTCCACAGTGTGTGTGTGTGTGTGTGGGGGGGGGGGGTGTCATCACTGACTATGTGTAATGATGAGTCCCAGTAACTTCCTGTCATTCAGAGGGAGGGGGGGGGGTCACTGAAAGGTCAAAAGTCAGACTCGATGTTTGAGTCATGTGGAGGAGGAGGAGTCTGAAAACAGGTTTAATTCTGTGTCGCTGTGGAAACAGACCCGAGCTTCAGAATGAGCTTCAACACGAATCAGCTCAGATTTAATCTCATTACGTTTTTTCAGTTTTCAGGACGAGTGGTGACAGTCAACGAACAGCAGCTCCTCCCAGGACGCGTCTCTGTTCACAAAACGTCCTCACATGGTTTCAGACCCTTAAAGGAACTAAACGTCACGAATGATTGAAATCCTGCCCGGTGCTGTTGTGTCCAGCGGCTGTGAACACAAACACGACACGATTACAAGACGAGACTGAGATCTGAGGTTTGTTCTGCAAGGATCTCATCAGCAGAACCACTGAGTGGAGAGAGAAACTGAACTCTCACACACACACTCCATCACTTTCGAGGACATTATCTCTAATTACATTGATTTCCTGGAGACTCACTCTAACTTTCATCATGGTAACAACTTACATCAACCTCAACTAACCTCAACTAACCAGTGTTTCTCTTAAAAAGACTCTTTGGACCAGTTGTGTGGATGTTTTTCAAAAGAGGAGATTCCCTGAACAATGGCGGTTCTGTCCTGATCTCCCTGTTCACACTCTCTGTCTCTGTATGGAAACTTGAGGCCGTCCAGCAGAGCAGACGTTCTCACTGAGGCTCAAACTCTCAGACGTCACAGTGAGCAGAGGTTCACTGACACAACACCTGTCCTGACTGAACAGAGAGGAAATAAGAGCCGAGGATGAGGAGCAGGAATCAGATTTCATCATCTTCATCGATAACGTGCTGCTGCGGGACGAGTCCTGACAAGAGCAACAACACTTCTCTTTCATTTGTCTTTCTGTGGAACAACGTGAGTTAAGCCTCCGTCTCACGTCTCCTTCATTCTGTCTGGAGAACATCTTTAAACTCCTCCTCCCGAGTCCACACGTTCAAAACTACACATCCCACAATGTCAAATGAACAGAGCGAGCAGCGAGCAGCGAGTCCAGAACTTGATGTTCCCAAAGAAAACTACAGTTATTGTAACATGTGCAGAATGTAAACAACACAACACTGAGGCTGTGGCCACATGACCACTCACCTGTAAACAGGAAGTGGATTGTCTACTTTGCAGTTGGTTGCTTAGTTACAGAAAATAAAACGAATGATGAACAGCGAGGGTGAAAACAAAGAGCAGAGGTTTCTGAGAACGTGGGCGTCTGCATCACTGTTGACAAAAAACCTCTGTTTGTCCAGAATCAAACACAACCTCAGAGTTTTCAAACTAAAACAAGACGAGCGGCGTTTACACCGACCTCCTGCTGCGGACACACTTGAAGTCACGCCACCGCGGCTCGTGTGTCAGGAGTCGGTGCAGAAACCTTCAGGGAACGACTTCACTGGTGAATCTGATCACAACAATCTTTTATCTTTATTTTCTGAACAGACGTGACACTGTTTTTCTGAGAAGCTGCTAGATCTGAGGAAAACCTGCAGCTGACTGAGAAACACGTCACTGTGGTGAGAGAATGGACAGAGAGAAGGAAAGAAGAGAGAGAGAGAGAGAGAGAGAGAGAGAGAGAGTCTCCTGACCGAGAGTTTCCCCTGACTCATCACCGCTGTGCTGCAGGAGGGACGAGTTGGTGGAAAGAAGAAATAGGAGGAGATAATTACCGAGGATGGAGTGAACACGAACAGAGAGCTGAGTCCTCAGGATCAGAATCGGCTTCTTTCCTTTTCTGTGGAAAAATCAAGAGAGAGACAGTGAGAGTGTGAAGCTGCAGCAGAGAGAAACTGGTTCAACCTCAGTGACACTGAGAAGGTCTCAGGCTGCACGCAAACAGTTTTTATTTTATATTGTTATCGTAAAATACAGAATTTAACTGGACAGCAGCTGTGAGCAAAGTCTCAGTAACTCTAGTATCTGATTCTCTACGTTGCTCTCGGAGCTGATGCTGGTTGTTTTCTTCTGGAAGGAGGTCATGTGACAGGAGCCTGACGAAGCCTGTAAATAAAGATGGACGACAGGTGTCCACTTCCTCCAGAAGCTAAAATAAAAACTGATCAGAACGAACTAATATGAGATTCAATGAGACAAGATTAGAAGTTTTAGTTTGGTCCATGTCCCATCTGCTAACATGGAGGAGGTGGGGTTCATGACCATCCAGGGTGATCAATGGATGTCATGTCGTCCATCTTTATTTACATCATCATCAGTGACTGAGCCTCTCTGAACTGAACCCAGAACAGTTTCCTCATAAACCTACAGACTGAGGCCTGCTGGGATCAGAGTCTGGAAAGAAGGACGGAATGGAGGTATGGAAAGAATGAGAGAGGGAGGGGGGGGAGAGGGAGAGAAAGAGAGAGAGAAAGTAAGAGTTTGTGTTTGTCTAAGGATAAAAAAAGGAACAATTATGAGATTTTTTTTAACACACACACACACACACACACACACACACAGTTTCCAGGTCCTTTTCCAATGACGTGTTCACCACATTTATAAACCCTGTAGATCTTTACAGCTGCCAGAGACTCAGCTGGGAACACACACACACACACACACACACACACACACACACACACACACACACACTGCACTAATGTGTCCAGTGGGGGGGGTCGTGCTGGTGGACTGTGTGTTTATCACTGTTTCACTGAATCAACTTTAAAAACAGAACGTTGTGTTTTCATGACTCAGCAACAGTCACCATGATTCGCTGCAGTTTCATCTCCGGCTGATGTGAAGAATGTGGATTTAATTATTTGATTCTGAGGCCGCTGACGTTGAACCAGCAGAAGAGGAGGAGGTTAAAGGTGTGTTTGGTAAAGCTCATGCTCGCTGGTCGTGTCCTTGCACACAACAACAAAGGAAACAATGGAAAAGACTTTGCAGCCACTTTGTCAAGATAAGAACGAGCACGAGCCTGAAGCTGCTGGAGGAAACAATCCAGAGCCCAAACTCTTCTGTTGGTGCTTCTTCTTTCTTCTCATTGAACTTCGTGTTTTTTGATGTTTAAGTGAAAAAATGAGAATGAAACAGACGGAGACAAACTGTTCTTACTTCACGTCTTCGTAGAAACTCTCCAGCTCGTCTCTCTGCTCCGACAACGACGAGTCCAGGTCCAGGTAGTTCCCATTAGGAGACAACTGAAGAGTGCACTCCTCCAACTGAGAGAGGGACGGACAGACAGACAGAGACAGTTAATCTCTGTAAACTAAATGTGTGTGTGTGTTATATTTCACATTCGTAATAAAGAGACTGAATGAAATAAATACTGTCGGAGTTTAAAACAGTTTAAAGGTTTGTGAGCGTGAAGCTGATCTAATAACGACCCACAGAATAAACAGATGATGAAACATAAACAGAAGCTACAGAACCTGTTCTACTGAAGAGCTCAATATTTCTACATCAAATAAGAGCCATGAACGCATCATCACACCCGCTCATGTATAAAGATGTCAGACGTTAAACACCTGAACTGATCCACAAAAACATCCACGTTCTACAGTGAGTCCCACTCACTCAGGTTTCTGGAGGTTTGTGGTGGATGACGAAAAGATCAGGAAGTGATGTCACACTGAATCTTTAAATTCGTGTTTTCACGTCGTGAACTCTGACGGTTTTTACAGAATCTAAATCTGCTTCAGTGCGATGACACACGTTGATGAATCAGATGTTAACATTTAATAATGAACTCTTTAGCGTGTGTGAACAGAGGAAGGTGGTGTCGCTGGGTTTTAATCACAGGTTGAGTTAATTAATGGCTCTGGGCTCAGAGCTGTTGTTGAACAGGATCCTCTTTACATTCTTTATCCGTCAGTTTTATTCCTGACTGAGATTCATCAGCTGTTAGTGTTCACCTGATCCGAACAGACGTCAGAGTCAAGATTAAAACCAGATTAAAATAAATATAAACCTTCAGTAAGCTCTTTCCTGTTTGATGAGATTGAGTCTGACTGGGCTTCTTCTGCTGAATGTTAACACAACCAAATTAATACTGTTATTATTGGATCATTGATTAAGACGCGTCAGTGAAACGAGAGAATGTAACTGAGGTTCCATGAATTCTGGATGAGCACCAGACAGCGGTGCTGGATGTCTTCATCTCACATACGTGCAGGTCGAGCAGTTACACCAGCAAAGTCACCTGTGACCATAATGGGACGCACATCCCGGGTGTATAAAACTCACAGCGTCACGCAACCCTCAGGTTACGAAGCTGCAGGCGACAGACTTAACGGACCTTTCAGGGGTCAAACGGCGTTGCAGCCAAATCCAAAACAATGGAAGTAACTGGAGACTGATTCTTCACATGTAGTCAAACACAACACGCCTCCGTGCTCCGGCAGCGCTGGTTACCCCTTTAATGTCTGATGAAAGCGTTGTGTGAGATGAGCAGCAGACAAACCAACCTCCTCCACTTCCAGAAGGTTCTGTCTATTTCTGCAGCGCCTCTGGGCCTGGCAGGCCGAGCGTCGTGCGGCTGTGAGTCATGTTGAGATATGAAAATGGAAACGAGGCCAGAGAACGATCGACTCCCATGTTGAGCTCAGTGTGTATGTGTACCTGCAGAGTGGCATTCCTCTGTGCACACACACACACCACCTATCTGAAAACACACACACACTCACAGAGCTGCACTGTGACCAACACATGACATCACCTCCACGTTCTGAGCCGATGACCTCACGTGGAGCGACGAGGTTCATTTCCGACCTTCACAACGTTTATGATGAAAACATCTGAAACTGAATTGACTCAAGTTGTTTCCCAAACTTTTATAAAAACAGAGAACAAGTTAGGAAACGAACTAAGTTAACGATTCTCTCCGGTCTGTGCTGAGAGCTTCCCCCTGTGCCATCTTTGTGCTAAGCTAGGCTAACACTTTCCCCTGCTTCCAGTCTCTGTGCTAAGCTAGGCTAACAGTTTCCTCCCAAGTACTTGATGCTGTTTATATCTCAGTCTATAATGGTTCCTCCGCTGCTCCACACTTGCAGAAGGAGAAGCATGTTCATCTCTTATCAACACTCGGTTGTTAGCATTACATCCGTCCGTCCATCCATCCTCCTTATCTCATATTTACAGGTCCCACCCTCTTCCTCCAACCCTCCGCTCGGCCCGCAGCAGCCAATGACGGGGGAGAACTAGTCCAGAGAAGCAGGAACGCTGCAGAAGACTTCATGTGGAGAATCCAGTCTCCACATTGATCCTATCAGCTCATCCACAGAAGAGGCCGCGGCTGCAGGTCGAGCCCCGGGGCATGGTGGGAACAATTAGGGTTTGGTTGGAGGAATGTAATCTAGTGGGACCGCCACTCGCTGGTCTTTATCTGATGCTGCTGATTCCAGCGGCCTCCGAACGCCTCGCGGCCTGACGTCTGTCTCGCTGCGCTGATGAATTTCAAGCTTCCGCTCAAACACGTCTTAATAAAAGTGATAATTTACAGCGTCGACAGGTCGCAGCAGAAACGTGAAACCGCTGAGTCAGCGAAAACTGTTCAGGCACAAACAGACTAACTGTGACTTTATCTCTGTGAGTGAAGCGAGAATGACTGAGTCACTGACACATGGAGCAGAATTCACTTCCTGTTGGGAAAGCGGGACTTCCTGCAGCGTAGTCCTCAGAGGACATTGTATTACTCAGGACTTTAAATTCTTAGGAGAAGAAGTTGTGAGCACTGTTGTATTTGTAATCGAGTATTTCCACGTACTCTACTTTATACTTGTGCTCCACTTCATCTCTGGACCACAGAACCTGAGGACAACTGTGGTCAGTGCATCGGACCAACAACCAGCAAGTCACAAACACGATAAGAACACGTTCCAGTCCTCAGACCTGCGGACTCCAGAGTCTCTACACTTAGACTTCACACTGAGACCTAGTCTAGACCTTACGGCCTGAGACCTGCAGGAGTCTAGAATCTGAATTAAGACCTCATGACCTTCAGACCTCAGATATGCAGAATTCTAGAGTCTGAATATTCAACCCCAAAGGTTGAAGTCCTCCAGAGCTAAGACCTATAGGACACTCGAGTCTAGACCTTCAGACTCAAGACCTTCAGTCCCCAGAACTGCAGACCTTCTAGAGTCCAGACCTTCAGTGTTTCATGGTGTCCTTGTTCTAAAAGTTCTTTTGGCTCTTGTTACTTGAGCATCGGGGACAAAAATCACCTGAGTCATACTGCTAACGATAACAAGTGTCCCCCATAGACCCCCTCAGCAGGTCCTCCAAATGCCAGGACTACACCAGACAACCCCCCCATCCAGAGAACCAGGTTCAAGTGAAAAAGGAGTAAAAACCTGTTTGTTCTCTGACCGAGAAACTTCAGCTGCTCAGTATTTGGTTGTGTTGCAGTTTGTAGAATGTGGCTCCACCAACAGAGCGCTGTGTTTCTGTCCTCAGAGTCCAGACCTGAGAGGACAGTGGGGACATGTCCACACCTCCGTGTAGCGAGGAAACCTGAGGGTCTGGCTTCTGAACTTTGGGCAATAAAACAATCTCAATTTTGATTTGGACACTTTGTCGTTTGCTGCTCCACAGGATGTTTGAATGTTTTACTCCAGGTTGAACTTGTTTGAATTGAATCAGATTCATGTTTTATGTACTTAATAAATGTTAATGAGGAGCTGCCAGGCTGAAATAACCTCAAACCAAACCTTATGTTAAAATGTACTAACTTAATGTGGAGCCACATGTCAGTGTGTGTAGATATCTGCCTCTATCTGCTGTGATTAAATAGTAGAAACCAAAGCTGCTGACATCATTAGATTTATCTCAAATTAAAATGTCAGAATCAATAATGACTTCTCTCCACGAAGGATGAAGCGATGATAAATTCAATTGTGTGATTTTTAAATGGAGTTTGGTGTCAGTTTGAAACGAGTCTGACTTCAGTGTTTGTTTCCTTCATTTTATTTAAAGTTCTGTTAAACTAATCTCTCGGTTCTGATTGGTTCTGTTCGGGTCTGTTGTCCTGGACGAAGCCCGGGACGGTGACCCTCCTCCCGGCAGGTACCTCCGTGTGTGACCCACCTTCAGCGGCGGCTCCAGCAGCTTGTGGATCCCGGGGATCTGCTCGCTGAGCGGCAGGTTCTCCTCCACCTTCACCGTCGGAGGTCTCCGAGGTTCGGGGAAGTTTGTACAGATGAACGGGTCCGAGTCCTCCAGGAACTGGACCCGGCAGACGATGGAGGCCATGGCCGAGTGACCGCAACCCAGCGGCGGCGAGCAGAGTGAGAGCGGGTCGGTGCGGAGGTTCGAGGTCCACGGAGGTATACGTCAAGTGGGCGGCGACAAAAGACGTAAACACATCCGGCACTGCTTTTCAGAATAAGACGGATGATGTGTACAAACACACACACATCCGGTACTGCCTTTCAAAAGAAACTATTTTAAATGAATTTAAAACAAGTGACAGAAAACTACAGTTACTGAGGATTATTGATAATAATAAAAACATTATAACAGTCACAACAATAATAGGTTGAATTTTTCTTCAGTCCCATCTGATTCTTCTTGTTTTACATCTTTCTGACTCATTTTATTAACAGTTTGTTTTAGTATTTCTTTGTGATACGTCTGTGTCTTACTCTGTCTTTTTAATTTCTATTTAAATATTTCTTTGTTGTATCGACTTACGTTGTTTTTACATTTCTGTTCTGATCTATTAATTGTGTGTTTCTGAGTATGTGCATCGTGTGTCATATGTTTTTTACAATTAACCGATGAATCAAATCGGCCTGTGGAACATGAAAATAAGTTTGTGCAGGAGAAACAAATTAAACGTTTTTTTTTTTCATGAAATAAAAATAACGAGGAGAGGAAACGTTGCAGCAAAATAAAGGAAATGAAATAACATTTTTATCCATGTGAACAGGAAACGTCTCAGCTGTCATCACTGTGACTGGAAGATCATCAGAGTTTAGATCCTGGAGGTGGACGTGGTTCCTCCTGCAAATGAACATCAGTGAGTTTGTATGATCCGGTTCTTTTCTGGAATAAAACCACAACATGTTGTTTAATAATATTAAAGAAACGTGATGGAATCATCGCTCTAATAAAACGGTGTTGGTTAGCTTTTGTTTTGAAGGGAGTATGACGCAACATCAGGTTGGATGCAGGATGACGTGACCGTGGACAGTCCAGTGGGGACGTCACGTGACTCCAGGAGTGAACAGGTGTATGTGAGCGTGATCTCAGGTAACAACACATGAAGAACAAACCTGCCGTGGAGCAGCAGCGCACTCTGGTGGCTGAGTCACTGCACTGCAGTTTACTGATGTGGAGACACAGCTGGAGACACATCTGTCTGAGGCAGGAACACGTCTCCACCTCCTCAAATGATACAGAAATTAAACTGATGATCCCCGAAACATGAACACTTGAACAAACATCAGTGTGATGAGAACGACCTGAAATGACAGAAACCGTATTTTAATTAGTAACAGGAGAAGTTGTTGTCCTGAGGTTCCGGGGTCGGAGATATCTGAAATGAGAGAGAAGAAGAGAGAGAGAGACTGTGGGAGGACAAAGTGAAATAGTCATTGACATGTATTAAAATAAGTAAATGAGTGAATGTGGGGGGGCAGAGAGAAGTGGAGAGGTGCTCAGTGGATGATGGGAGTTCCCCCAGCAGTCTAGACCTATAGCAGCATAACTAAGTGATGGGTCAGGACCTGATCCAGAACTATAGACTTTATCAAAGAGGAACGTTTAA